TATATGCGTGAGCTTTACGCCCTGCGCGAAGCCCTCGCACATTGGAAGCACTACCTCTTGGGTCGCCACTTCAAGGTGTACTCTGATCATCAGACCTTGCAGTGGATTCAGACACAATCTGAACTCTCTCCTACATTGACCCGCTGGTTGCATGACATTGATGTCTACAGTTTTGAGTTGAAACACAAGAAAGGCTGTTATAACCGTGTTGCTGATGCTTTGTCGCGCCATCCCGAGTATTTGACTTGCCTTGTGGACTCTTACGACCTCCGGAGGAATCTGAAGGAGGAGCTGGTCGAACACAATGCCAAGGATCCGGACCTTAGTCCCATCCTTGAGCAGCTCAAGGTTGACCCCAACAGTCAGCCTGATTTTCACGAATGCGAGGGTCTTGTCTTTCGCCGGTACGGAAAGTTTGATCGTTTATGTGTTCCCAACCATGCGCCTCTCCGGACTCACGTCTTGGATTTGGCACATGGTCGGAGTGGACACTTCGGCTTCGAAAAGACATATGGGAGTCTTTTGCAGCAGTTTGATTGGCCGGGAATGAAGGGATCTGCTCAGAAATTCATCGCTGAGTGTCAAGTCTGTCAAAGAACAAAAGTCCATAGGCATAAGCCTTATGGCYTGYTGAGACCCCYACCAATTCCTGAYGGTCCCGGGGAATCGGTCTCYATCGATTTCACGGACATGGGAAAGGTGASTGCAGCAGGGAATTCWCAAGTTATGGTGATTGTGGATCGCTTTTCTAAATTTCTGAACTTGATCCCTYTACCTCCTCATGCACCRACTGAGCTAGTAATTGAAKAATTTCACCAACAGTACATTCTGCAGTATGGACCCCCGAAAATTCTTGTGAGTGATCGGGATACCAGATTCATCAGCGCCGATTGGAAGGACTTCACGTCGCAGATCTATGACATTAAACTGAACAAGACTTCTGGTCGACACCCCGAAGCCAATGAATTGGCTGAGGAGATCAACCAGACTGTCATCCAACTACTCCGCGCATTAATTGTTCCAGATCAGAACACGTGGGACAAAGAGCTGCACAAGGTAAAGGGACTGTATAACATTTCCATTCACTCTGCAACTGGCGTGACACCAAACCAGCTGCAGTATGGATGGCCGATGCGCAATCCCCTCTCCTATCTGTTCCCCGAACGGTCACCTGATCTGATGCCCGACATGCCTGGCTACAATGCCAAGTACGCCCGCTTGCTCAAAGCTGTTACTGCAGCCATGAACAAGCGCCAACATGCCATGATCAAACATGCTAACAAGCTGCGCAGGGAAGAAAAGTTCAAAGTTGAGGATTATGTTTGGGTCAAAATGTCTGAGTTTTCTGATGAAGAGGGCGTRTCACGAAAGCTTCTTCCACTRTACTACGGCCCTTGGCAGATCCTGAAGGTGATTGGGGATGATTTCAGTCCTTCGTATGTGATTGACGTGCCTCCTCATCTGCGCACGTATCCAGTTTTCCATGCCTCCAAATTGTTCCCACACATTGATGATGAGACCTTTCCMTTCCGAGACCCTATGATACCTCGCCCTATTGACGRCGGCCATGAGATTGACARAATCGTTTCTCACGAAGGGAGAGGGAGGAACAGACAGTACAAGGTTCACTTCCTCTACCATCCGTTGAACGAATTCTTCTGGATYRACCGGAAAGAGCYGCTGAAGAGTGCTCCACGTGTTGTGAACGCATATGAACGACAGATTGTTGATGGACAGACCGCTAAGTTTGCTGCAAAACTCACTCCGTTCGGTCTCACTAACACTCTCTTTTTGATCTATGCCTACGATGCCTTTTGTACCGACTGTGACTGAGTTACTCGCTCGAAGGGACCTCGCTCTCGAGAGGGGAGTAATGTAATGACCCGCCAAAAACACAGACTGGGAACACTGCTGATTTCTGGGATTTGCCAATGGAATGAATGCCTTGTTGTGATTCCCGCATTCTGCT